AATACCATTCCCAACCCCTCCATGAATTCCCAATCACACTTGAAGGATGAGTTTCTTATAAAGTCCTTCTGATCATATGACATAGAATTAATCACTCTTGGACATTCTACTATAAACCTTAGCACGCTGTTTTTTCATTATTAGTTTATATGTCTCTTTCCTCAGCCAGAATGGGTAAACCATGACTTATTTACATGTTTACCACAGCAGTAATGTAGGTGATGCATGTTAAATGAGTAACAACTAAACAAATTAGACTCTTCAGCCTCTTGAACTTCTCATAGGAGGCAATATTAAGCAGTAAAGAATGTCCTCCTTTTGACTCATGTTATCTCAGTTAAAATTCTGCCTATTGCTGGATACATGTCTGTTATTTAACCATTCTTGTCCCAGTTTACCTAATTGTACAAAGGTCATAGCAATAGACCTTAACTCACAGAGTCATAATAAGCATAAAAATATAAATAATGCAGAGTGCTTAGACCATTGCCAGGTCTAAAGTAAGTGCAAAAAATATGTTAACAAATAGTAGTTAAGAGTGGTGCTTAATTTATCACACTTAAAGAATAGTAGAAACAAAGTAAAGTATCTCAGTAGTGCAAAAATATTTTGAATATATTCTACCAACTTAATCAGATCAATTGTATGTAACTAGATTCCTCTGAAATTAGTGAAAGATTTTTATTATATAAGTACAGTTGATACTCATTATTTATAGATTTTGTAGTTGCAAAGTTGCCTGCCTGCTTGCTAAAATTTATGTGTAACTCAATACCCATGATGCTTTGTGGTTATGCTTAGAGCAGGGTAAAATTTGAGTTGCCAGATGTCCATGTTCCCAGCTGAGGTTAAACAAGAAGATTCTCTGTCTTCTTGTTTTAGCCCTCATACTATAAACAAGCACCCTTTTTGAAGTCTATTTGGCACCATGTTTTTTGCCTTTATGTGCTTTTGGTTGGTGATTTTTCTGTTTAAAATGATCCCAGAGTGGAGTGCTCAAGCAATGTCCAGGTTTCCTAAGAGCAAGAAGGCTGTGATCTGCCTTATTTCTGGCATTAAAGTTCAATGTTAAAGAGCTGACAATACGGTCATATTAAATAAGGTATCATTAAATAGAAACACACATAAAACGAGGTTATGTACCCATCAGTTGACAAAAATGTTGTAACCAGAGGCTCGAGGGAACCTATACTTACATTTCCTCTGGGAGTAATATTTCAGTGTTCTCAAATTCAGTGTTGGGGTGAGGGCAGCTATACAGAAAATAACAAAGTGCTCAGCAAGTAAGTGCAAATTTAGATTATATTTCTTTCTTCTCTCAAAGAAACTTATTTGTAGAGCACCAGCTAATTTGTAGTAGAACTGGAAGAAGGACCTTGGATTTCTATCTCCCTGGAGAGTCTAGCTCTGCCTCTGCTCCGTGATTGAAGTGGGGACAGAGAGGTCCTGAACAAATCTATTGTTTGACGTTGGGTCTGGATTCTTTTTTTTTTTTTTTTTTTTCGAGATGGAGTTTTGCTCTGTTGCCCAGGCTGGAGTGCAATGGTGTGATCTCGGCTCACTGCAACCTCCGCCTCCTGGGTTCAAGCAATTCTCTTGCCTCAGCCTCCTGAGTAGCTGGGATTATAGGCATGTGCTACCATGCGCAGCTAATTTTGTATTTTTAGTAGAGATGGGGTTTCTCCATGTTGGTCAGGCTGGTCTTGAACTACTGACCTCAGGGGATCCACCTGCCTTGGCCTCCCAAAGTACTGGGATTACAGATGTGAGCCACCATACCCAGCTGTGTCTGTATTCTTTTTAACAGCCAGTAATTTGTTTTTACCACCTCAAAACAACAAACAAACAAAAAACCTCTGTGTGCTTATTTTAAAACTTAATTTAAATATTTTCAGACTATTACATGCACATTATTTTTTAAGTTAAATAGTACTAACAAGACTATAACAAAAACAAATAGGCCCTTTCTTTCCCCTCCTCAAACCCTGCCGCCATTCCCTAAAGACTGCCTTATGATATTTGGCTGGTTTTGTTTTTTGTTTTTTTTTTTTCTGACATTTACCTTTATGTTTCTCAGTAATCTACTTATTTAGATATCTGTTAGTTTACCAGTTTTAATTCACCATTTTTAGATATCATCTATTGATTGATTTTTATGTCAAGATTTGGTACTGACACACTTCTATCCTCATTTTCTTCCCCAATCTTTTCTCTTTTTTCTACTGCTGCTTCTCTTCCTCTTCCTTCTTTTGTTGAGGTGCAATTAAAATAAATGAAATGATAAATCATAAGTGTTCAGTCTCATGAATATACTGGTATTCTAGGGCTGCCAAAATAAATATTGCAGAGTGGGTGGCTTAAAAAATAGGCATTTATTTTCTCACAGTTAGTGAAGCTCGAAAAGTCCAAGATCAATGTGTTGGCAGATTTGGTTTCTTCTGAGGCCTCGTTCCTTGGCTCATAGATGGCTAGTGTCTTCACGTGGTTTTTCTCTGTGCATACCTGTTTCCTAATTTTCTTTTAGGGATACCAATCATGTCATATTTAAGACCTACCCTAATGAACTAATTTAAACTTCATTATCTCCTTAAAGGACTTATCTCCAAATTCAGTCATATTCTTTTAAGACACAGGAGTTATAACTTTAACATATGACCCTTTGTGGGCACAATTCAGCCCATAAATGTGTATTTTGACAATTGTATCCATCTGAGTAACAAACATGAAATCAATATGCAGATTTCCATCACCCCAAAAAGTCTCCTGGTACCCATTACTGGTCAAAGCCCGGAACAACTACCATAAACTATTCTGACTTCTAATACTGTAGATTACTTTTGCCCATTCTTTAACTTTACATAAATGGAATTAAACAATATGTACTCTTTTGAGTCTGGTTTTTCATCATAGTAAATCTTTTATCACATTACAATTTTCTTCATTGTCTTCACTGCTGTTTGTTGCCTTTTAAATATCTTTTTTTTTTTTTTTCAGATTGCACTCTTTTCCTGGAACACACCCTTGCAGGATGTGTGACACTGGTGTGGCTTGTCTGTTTGGCTGCTGCACCCTCAAACCCCTAATGGGAGAGGGAGCATGCAGATGGGCAGGAGCTAGGGTGAGCACTTTTGGTCTCTGGGCCCATGGTAGCATCTAGGGGTGGGTGTCTGTGACTCCCAAAACCCCAGTGGATGTGCTTCAGTGCTCTTTCAGCTCTGCCATCTGCAGACAGCTTAAGTTTTAACCAGCTCAGTGGCCTCTTGGTACCCAGGTTCTTGTCCAGCATCCAGGAAGAATCAGGTCACATGAACAAATTGCAGGATGGTAAACGAGGGGGATTTTATTGCCAGATGGAGGTGGCTCTCAGTGGGATGGATGGGAAGCTAGAAAAGGGATGGAGTGGGAAGATGATCTTCTCCGGGAGTTTGGTCGTCCCACGGCTGATCTCCTACCCGACCATCCCCAGCTGAACTCCTCTCGATGTTCAGATGCTCCTTCTCTTCTTTTCTTCTCTGCCACACTGTTCTTCTGTTCCTCTGCTCTTCTGCTAGTCTACTCATTCGCTTATGGAGCCTGGTGTTTGGGGTTAATATGGGTGCAGGGTAGGGGGACACGGCAGGCCAAATGGCAACATTTGGGTGTGAAAACAGGAATGACTGTTCCCATTTAGGACTGTGAGTTTTCAGGCTTGTGGGCAGGGCATTTTGCCAGAGAACCGCCTTCTTCTACCCAGTATTTCCCTATCTTCTGTCCATATTGGCAGTAGCCTCATTGTTGGGGAATTGATCAGGGATATGACTGGTTTTTTTTTTTTCCTCTAGGGCAAAGATAATAATTTTCTCTAGAGAAGGATTATCTGATATTCTACCCAAGAAGCATATACCTGGTTGCCATTGCTCTAGGTGTCATATGAAGGAAGAAGACATGGGTAGCTCATATCTTTGATTTAATTACCCTTGCCTATATCCCTGTACATCCTTGTTCTCTCCTGTGTTTAATATCTCAGAAACTTTGGCCTTTGAGTTCAATATCTCCAGAGGATAAAACTACCAACACCTCCAAGGTCAGGGAGGGTTAGTAGCCTGGTTTTACTAGGTATAGGTAGAAACCTTTCAAAACTATGCTCGAAAGTCCTACCTTCCAAGTTATATAAGCAGGAACAATGTCCAGGCATCCCTGACCTTTGTCATGCATTTCATTGCCTTGCTTTTTCGTTACTATCTCTTAAAAAGGTATTTCGTTTTCAGGCTCTCTTCTTTGGCTCAGTCACCCTATGATATGGTTTGGCTATGTCCCCACCTAAATCTTATCTTGAATTGTAGCTCCCATAATTCCTACCTGTCATGGGAGGGACCCAGTGGGAGGTAATTGAATCATGGGGGCAGGTCTTTCCTGTGCTGTTCTCATGACACTAAATAAGTTTCACAAGATCTGATAGTTTTATAAAGGGGAATTCCCCTACACACGTTCCCTTGCCTGCTGCCATGTAAGACATATCTTTACTCCTCCTTTGCCCTCTGCTATGATTGTGAGGCTTCTCAGCTATGTGGAACTGTGAGTCCATTAAACCTCTTTTTCTTTAAAAATTACTCAGTCTCGAGTATGTCTTTAATTAGCAGTGTGAGAACACACTAATATACCATATCTCCCTCCAATTTGCACCTTCCGAATATTAGTTGACGTCTCTCTTGCAATATAGCCTTATTCTATATTGTTTTATGACTTTATACCATTTAGAATATTTTACTGTCATTTTAGCAGCATATGCAAAGGAGAGGTGATAATGCATTCAATCAATCAAAGGAATTGTGTATTTTTGTTAAAACCAGACAAATATAAGAATGGTGTCAGATTGTAAGAACAAATTTAATTTGTCTTTAAGTGGCAATTGCTAACACTTCTTGCTTCTCTGCTTTCTTCACATTTATGTTTGGTTCTTTGACCCTGTCCCATTGTCCTTTCTTTCTTCAATGTTTTAATTTACATCTATTATTTTACAGAGTATCAAAGTTAGCTGGCTGCCTCCTCCATCAGGAACACAAAATGGATTTATTACCGGCTATAAAATTCGACACAGAAAGACGACCCGCAGGGGTGAGATGGAAACGCTGGAGCCAAACAACCTCTGGTACCTATTCACAGGTCAGTGTTCACATGGTGTAGTCTTGCAAGGTTTTGATGAATTAAATGCTTTAGGAATAATATATACTCTCACTCCAAAGGAACATTGATTTTTTTCCTGGCATCCTGGCAGGTGACATCTATTGGCTGGAACAAGAATAACCTTTATATTTTTAACTTTATATTCTCTATAATGTTTTCACTATATGTTTCTTTCTGGATCATCATCTTAATCCATGTATCATAAAATTTTTATTCGTATTAGTTTCTCAGCATTGCTGATTCAGCAAAAGCATCTGTTATCTAAAAACTTAACATTTTAACTAATAACTTTTAAAAGTCATCTAATGAAATTGTTCCAATTTCAATCACTTTGATTCCTCTCTACCAATATTCAGGGGTGAGAATGGGTTGAAAACTGAAGAAAAGAGTAGATTGTAAAATAGAGAGATTAATCTACTTTCTGCTAATATAAAGGAAATTCACTTTTGCACCAATATTGATAGAATTCAGAGTAGATCAAACTTCTTTATGAAAACTGGACACAGTGTACATGTAAATAATATATATTTTAAATTTTATAAAATAATCATGTATTTTCTTTAACAACTACAACCTTTCATTCACGTCAGCCCAGATTCCTGGAAAACAGAATGAGGCCAGGCTTTCAAGGTAATGCCTTTAAAGTTTTAAGTTCAGGAAAACAAGAATGAGAGAACAAGGAAAACGATCCAGGGAAGAAGAGAAAACAGATAATGGTGGTACATTATCCAGCTGTGGTGGCCACAACTTCAAGACAAAGCACAGAGCTTGCTAGGTTTCCTGATTGTCTCTCGAGAAGCCGCATGAACGGTCTCACAGTCCATGGATAGAAGGTGTGAGCAGTTGCTCTCTTGTTTATCACTGGTTGAGTTCACCAACAGCTTACTGATTACTCTGCACCTTCCAGGCAGTCCCCTGTGAAGCCAGAGCTTCTGATGACTGTGCAGACACATAGGTATCTTTTTCTCAATCAGCATTTTATGTGATGGTGGCCTGGCCTAGGGTATGATCAGAGCTCAGGGCTTTTCAGACCTAGGAACATCTTGAGCTACTGCCAGAAACTTGGCAAGCAAAGCATATAGAGTGGCTCATGACACAACTGAGTAGATGAAGTTGAGCGACTTTGAAGTGGCACATAAACTGGGTCAGGACGATATACAAACCATAAAGCACATGACTACAATTTTTAGATGAGGTAAACTACCATTGCAAGTGAGAAAAAAAGAAAGTAATCCCTTATGTATTCCTTTTCTCTACACAAGACACTCAGCGAATTTCCATTTGAAATCATGACACACACACATTATAAGCTTGTTGTTCAGCCTACAATCAGAGACTCGAAAGTAATTTGTTTATTTATTTTTTCTTCTTTTCTCTCAGGTTGTCTTTTATGCCTATATAATTTTAGCATAATGGCCAGAGCACTTCCGAAGTAAATTGCCAAAAATCATGTTTTAAATATGGACAAAATATCTGAGGCAGGGAATGGTTGAATCTAACAGAAAGTTATGACATTTACCATATCATTTTAAAAGATTTTGAAAGCCAAGATCCTATGGCTTTTCTTCCCCTGACAAAATAATGGGGAAGATGGTAAAAATAATCGAAGTTAAGAACATGTGTTCATTAGGATATTTGGTACAATATGACTCTTACTTTGAGAGAAATCACCAAAATTGAAAAATCTTGCTAAAAATATTTTAGTATGAATTCTAAGATTTAATATTAGAGTAGAAGAGACACTAAGGATAGTTTAATCCAAGCCATGTGTTCTTCCAGACATAGAGATTTGAAGCCTGAAAACATTATCATCATTGCTTTTGCTTCTCAAATGATAAACATTGAAAATAAAAATTAATTTCCTACTATAAAATAATTAAAGGATGAATATTCCAATAAAAAAATTAATGATTGGGTGTTCAATTCACAGAACTATATGCAGCCAATAAAGATGATAAAATGTTCAATCTCATTAGCAAATAGAGAAATGCAAATTAAAATAAAAATGAGTTAGCCTTTTCCTTTGATTAAAGTAATAAAGATAAAAATAAATGCAGGCATCCCATTCTGGAAAGCATATGAGAAACGTTAAGTCTCTTATACTGCTTGTGGGACAGAAAATGTCTACAACCTTTTTGGAAAGCAATGTATATATAGGTATTTTATACAGAAGTATATACATGTGTATGTGGATGTATGTCTCTATATGTAATTTTCTTTTCATAAATATACGACCCAGGTTTCCAAATCCTGAGAGTTTAACCTAGGAAGCAATCACATTTTTGCAAAGGTTTTAGCTAGAAGCATATTGTCATATTATTTTAATAGCAAATAGTGTTTTTAAAAACCTAAGTATCCACCTAAAGGAAGTTACCTAGAACATTCAGACTCAATTGTATCTTGGAATACTGTATGTCTATTTTAAATGGAATAGTGTCAAAATGTTAAATCATATGTAAATTATTGTTATTTAAAACAATAAGCAAATACCCCAGTTTTAAGTCAGTATTAGTAGAAGAGGTCATATTTATTTAAAAAAGCATTCACATAAAAATATTTACAATAATATATATGCCAAAATGTTGATCGTGAGTATTGCTTACTTTGTAACAATATGATATGTATTTTAATTTCATATACAAAATGAAAAATAAGTTAAAAAATTACAATTTTTGGTTTTGAAAATTTAAGATTTCCTCATGTGTCTGTTGGCTGCATAAATGTCTTCTTTTGAGAAGTGTCTGTTCACATCCTTAGCCCACTTTTTGATGAGGTTGGTTTTTCTTGTAAATTTCTTTGAGTTCTTTGTAGATTCTGGATATTAGCCCTTTGTCAGATGAGTAGATTGCAAAAATTTTTCCCGTTCTGTAGTTTGCCTGTTCACTCTGATGGTAGTTTCTTTTGCTGTGCAGAAGCTCTTTAGTATAATTAGATCACATTTGCCAATTTTGGCTTTTGTTGCCATTGCTTTTGGTGTTTTAGATATGAAGTCTCTGCCCATGCCTATAACCTGAATGGTATTGCCCAGGTTTTCTTCTAGGGTTTTTATGGTTTTAGGTCTAACATTTAAGTCTTTAATCCATCTTGAATTAAGGTTTGTATAAGGTATAAGGAAGGGATCCAATTTCAGCTTTCTACGTATGGCTAGCCAGTTTTCCCAACATTATTTATTAAATGGGGAATCCTTTCCCCATTTCTTGTTTTTGTCAGGTTTGTCAAAGATCAGACGGTTGTAGATGTGTGGTATTATATCCGAGGGCTCTGTTCTATTCCATTGGTCTATATCTCTGTTTTGGTACCAGTACCATGCTGTTTTAGTTACTGTAGCCTTGTAGTATACTTTGAAGTCAGGTAACTTGATGCCTCCAACTTTGTTCTTTTGGCTTAAGATTGTCTTGGCAATGCAGGCTCTTTTTTGGTGCCATGTGAACTTTAAAGTAGTTTTTTTTTCCAATTCTGTGAAGAAAGTCATTAGTAGCTTGAAGGGGATGGCATTGAATCTGTAAATTACCTTGGGCAGTATGGCCATTTTCACGATATTGATTCTTCCTATCCATGAACATGGAATATTCTTCCATTTGTTAGGGTCCTCTTTTATTTCGTTGAGCGGTGGATTGTAGTTCTCCCTGAAGAGGTCCTTCACATCCCTTGTAAGTTGAATTCCTAGGTATTTTATTCTCTTTGAAGCAATTGTGAATGGGAGTTCAATCATGATTTGGCTCTCTGTTTGTCTGTTATTGGTGTATAAGAATGCTTGTGATTTTTGCACATTGATTTTGTATCCTGAGACTCTGCTGCAGTTGCTCAACAGCTTAAGGAGATTTTGGGCTGAGACGATGGGGTTTTCTAAATATACAATCGTGTTATCTGCAAACAGGGACAACTTGACTTCCTCTTTTCCTAATTGAATACCCTTTATTTCTTTCTCTTGCCTGATTGTCCTGGCCAGAACTTCCAACACTATGTTGAATAAAAGTGGTGAGAGAGGGCACCCCTGTCTTGTGACAGTTTTCAAAGGGAATGCTTCCAGTTTTGCCCATTCAGTATGATATTGGATGTGGATTTGTCATAAATAGCTCTTGCTATTTTGAGATATGTCCCATCAAACCTAATTGATTGAGAGTTTTTAGCATGAAGGGCTGTTGAATTTTGTCAAAGGCCTTTTCTGCATCTATTAAGATAATCATGAGATTTTTGTCTTTGATTCTGTTTATGTGCTGGATTACATTTATTGATTTGCATATGTTGAACCAGCCTTACGTGAAAAAATGCTTATCATCACTGGCCATCAGAGAAATGCAAATCAAAAACACAATGAGATATCATCTCACACCATTTAGATGGCAATCATTAAAAAGTCAGGAAACAACAGGTGCTGGAGAGGATGTGGAGAAACAGGAACACTTTTACGCTGTTGGTGGTACTGTAAACTAGTTCAACTATTGTGGAAGACAGTGTGGTGATTCCTCAAGGATCTAGAACTAGAAATACCATTTGACCCAGCAATCCTATTACTGGGCATATACCCTAAGGATTATAAATCATGCTGCCTTAAAGAACATGCATACGTATGTTTATTGCGGCATTATTCACAATAGCAAAGACTTGGAACCAACCCAAATGTCCATCAATGATTGACTGGATTAAGAAAATGTGGCACATGTACACCACGGAATGCTATGCAGCCATAAAAAGGGATGAGTTCATGTCCTTTGTAGGGACATAGATGAAGCCAGAAACCATTATTCTCAGCAAACTATCGCAAGGATAGAAAACCAAACACTGCATGTTCTCACTCATAGGTGGGAATTGAACTATGAGAACACTTGGACACAGGAAGGGGAACATCACACACTGGGGCCTGTCGTGGGGTTGGGGGAGGGGAGGGATAGCATTAGGAGATATACCTAATGTAAATGATGAGTTAATGGGTGCAGCACACCAACATGTCACGTGTATGCATATGTTAAAAACCTTCA